CATCATCGTTATTATCATTGAAACTATCACCATCGTTGGATCTCAGTTTTTTGTTTGGCGAAACTTAACTTCATGTTGGGGGTAGGGCAGGCCTTCGAAATTTTGAGAAGTAGGGCAGTATAAACCTCCAGAGCAATAATTGGTCGAAAGTCTTCTCTCTCAAGTGTTTGCTCAAATTAATTTTTTGCACGTGAGTCTAAACTTTATCACTCCTCTCTTGTACCAGCACCATCCAACATCCAATTTGTCACTCCACTCTTTTTTGAAGAATAATAATGGAAATAATAATAATAAAATTAAAATAAATATAAAAATAAAATAAGAAAAAATAAGAAAATTAATTAACCCATTGGGTAAACAGTTCCATAAATTTCTCTGCAACTAACAAATCAACCCTGCCAAACTAATTCTGCACACCAGAGCACATCAAACCATCCGCATCATTTTTGATAGCATGCCATGAGTGCATTCAAGTTATGCATTTTGAATAAACAAACAAACAAACATAGAAACAATTGTGGTGTCATTTTTTACTGTTCACACAACAGAACACCATGGCAGAAGTTCACAGATGAATAAACATCGTCTCAATAGGTAAATATTATTTCAGTGCTAACTTCATAATGAGCTCTAATGAGCGTGTCTAAATTAAATCCCTCCCTAACTATTTATGATGGAGTGTTGATGGTCTCTCTCCCTCTTTCTCTTTCTCTTTCTCTCTCTCTCTCTCTCTCTCTCTCTCTCTCTCTCTCTCTCTCTATCTATCTATCTATTTCTCTATCTCTGTGTGTGTGTATGTAGTGATGATTCTCTCTCTCCTCTCTCTCTCTCTCTTTTCTCTGTGTATGTGCATATGTGTATTTAGTGATTTTTTATTTGTGTTTGAGGGTTTGCCCAAGTGTGGTTATCTTTTTTTAGCATCATTGATGTTTGTCCCTCGTGCTTGCAAACTTTGTTGGCTGTGACTTCATGTATTGCAAACAAAACCAAAGTTTCATCATCGGGACTTCAGCAGCAATAAAAACCACACCAGTATTTAAAGCTGCCTGGCGTTTGCTGCACCATCGACAACAACAACGTTATCACTTACACCAAATACCAACAGTTTCATCATTATATCAAAACATCGCTTCAATTTGTCAAAAAGAACAGTTAAAAATAAAAAGAAGCAGTTGAAGTAGCGATGGAAGCGACAAATAAGAAGATAGCATTTTGACGGGCCACATAGTTTGATCAAACACAAACGCGACACGAACGAACAGTCGGTTCATCATTGTTTCGTTTGTTTGGTTTGCCATGTTTGAGCTGAGCTTGTTTGTTTTGTTATGTTAGCAGCTTGTTTGTATGTCAAGAGGTCACAAGAGGGATTCATTCAGAATGTGTCAACTTGTGTGAGCAAACACTCACTCACACAGACACATCCGCACGCGCGCACACACATACAACACTCACATACAAACACACACACTCCCACACACAAACACATATAGACATATACACAAGCACGAACAAACAGACACACATGACACGCAGGACCAAATTTAAACTTTCATGACAACGGAATGAACGCGGATTTTAAGATGTTTAACCAGAGATGGATGATCACACAAGCAAACTCAAACAGGAACATCCTCAATCATATAACTGCACACGCACACATACACACACACACGCGCACACATACACATATACACAAACACACTTGCACAAACATACATACACGCACATACAGAACGCAAATAAATATGTTAACACTTAATACAAAGAGACAAACAAATACACACATACTTCCATGTATACAGTTAGTCACACACATACAAACTCACACACACATACATACACACGCACACACATACACACACACGAATAAACTCCCTAGTGCTAATATGTTGAATGCACGATACTTTTAGTTTCAATGTTTTAGGTATGTTTTTGGTATTGTTGCTGCGATTGTTGTTAAGTACAACAACGTACAAAAACAACAGCAACAACAAAACCAAATTGCAACAATACAACATTAACAACAACATCAACAACAACAACATCAACAACAACAACAAAGACAACAACATTAACAACAACATCAAATTGAAACATCGTCATCATCATCGTCATCATCGTTATCCCACCGTCATCCCACCGACACAAAATCACATCGACACAACAAAAACACCGACACAACAACACAGATAAACAACACCCAAAATCACACACACACACACACACACACACACACACACACACAACACACAC